GTCTGATTTTCCAAGATAATTAAAAGATAAAACTATTTGAATTTTTAGTAAAAGGCCCCAAGTTATTGTACAGCATGTGACACTGGTATACGTGCAAAAATTTAACCCCTTGCTGCCCATATATGTTTGGTGGCAAAGAGGGTGGACTTTATCACCCACACACTGCACATATTTGTCTATGGGTGGCAGAGGTTTCTGTACAGGGTGCACTCACTGAGCGCTCCCAGCACGGAGACCCGAGAAGTCAAAGACAGCTTTCAATCAATACTAATGATCGGGAACTGGTGGGACTGGTTCCCAATCATATGACCACTGAAAGCAAATCTCAGTGGTCACACAGTTAGGCAGACCTTCTTGCCCCTGGGCAAATAAGCCCAGTTAAAGGGACGCCAGGACAGGTGGAAAACTAATTTTACATAATTTGACTTCTTTTTATTTAGCCAATTAACATATATGTTGTAAACCTGCCTAAATACATTATCACTTCCTCGCAAAAAAATCAGAATTAAGTTAGACCACCCTTTTTCAACCATGGTGCCTTGAGTTTTATTCAGGGGTGCTTTGACAAAATGCCTAAAAATTGTAAACGCCAGCAGGTGGATCAAGCCTGCCTCTTAGTTACACAAAACAATGGGTTTTCATTGTGCACCATCACAACTTTCTAGGCGCATCAGGTGATAAAAAAAAAAAAAAAAAACACACACACACACACATTGGGCACCTGCACAGCATCCCTGCTTTCCCCTTCCCTGCCCCTCTCCATCAGCACTGGAGTAACACTAGCTGAGTGAGAGAGAAAGAGAGAAACTGAGGGAGAAGAAAAACAATGGAATACTAGTCAGTACCAGTTGCGCAAAAGTATATTTTCTTTGGAAGAATAAATCACCTCTAGTTTTGGGGGTCCTACATGTGCAGATGTTGCTGTGTTCTGTAAAACTATTTGTTTAGTGTTTTACATTTTGTATTCTGTGCCTCAAGATTGTGCAGAATTTTAAACGGTGCCTTAAATGAAAAAAGGTTGATAAACACGGAGCTATACACTAATGAATAGACACTGCCCCTTGTAGTGAAAAGTGGCTTTGCACATTGCGAGTTACCTACTGATTTTGAGCAGCGTAGATACTGGCGAGCTTCAGTGAGATCTCAAGAAATGAATTTTCATCCTGGCAAACATAAAAAAAAATTATACTAGTGATAAAACCAAGCATGAGAAACAAGAAGAAAAATAAAAAGTTTACCTGTTTGATTCCACTTTCAAGCATGCCCACCATGGTGCTCTTAAACAACTTTTCAGCCTTAAAAAAAGAACAAAAGGAAAAAAGGAAAAAAAAAAAAGAAAAATCTAACAATTCATTCAGTGAACCACCAGATAAGGGTGTTTATGTTTATGATAGTTGTGATGGTAAGTAAAGTGCACTAAAAACATAAAATGTTTGAACTGTAACATAATACACTGTATGACATCACAGAGGCCCTGTACTCAACACATAAAATGGTCAAAAATGGCAGAATGTGAGATTATTTCTTTTTTTTACATTTTGATGTCCAATCGTTTCTTATTTATAAAGGCAAGTACCTATGTGCTAACTGACATTTTTAAATGCTGCAGCTCAAACATTTGGCAAGCAAGAATCACTAAGGATCCATTTAAACTAGAGCAGTGACTAGCGTTTTTTCGCACAGGAAGAAATCCAGTCACCACTGGGCACACAGAAGACAACTTGTTTTCTAGGTGATCTGTTTGCATTGCAACACATCCCGTAGGTGCGGTGCAGTGCAGTGAGGTGTAATAAAATGCAGACATATTGCACTTTACCGCACCTCACTGGATGACACTGCATGTCACCACACAGCAGTGCAATGCACCCAACTGCTATGCAGTGCCATGAAATGAAGTGTCACTTTGTGCACTATAACATTGACAAAAAAACAAAATGCGCCATTGAGCAACAGGTCCACTCACAATTTTTGTAGCAAAAGAAAAAAAAAAATTATACCACAATGTACATGAATGGGTGTTTTTAAAAAAAATAAAAAACAAGCTGTCTGTCTACTTACATTGTCATACTGGCCCTCAGTAATGCCACATTTGCCATCTAAAGAAGAGAAGATAGAATTATATCCCATAACATAATTTCAGATTAAAGCTAAACTCTGGGCTAAAAGCTAAATAGACATAGGGGAGCGGTTTTACCTACCAAATAATTTGTATTCCTGCCCATCCAGTTCTGAGATTTAAACAACTGTGCCACACTGAATTGAACTGTCTAGAAGGGCAGAAGACCTGATTTTTTTCCTGCTCTAGTTAACGAACATGCAATAAGCAGGTCTTACCCTCCCTGAACTTGTAACTGGACAAGGCAGGGATATGTGGCAGACGAATTAGCTGTCACTCTGCTCTCTCTTCCAGTCAGCATGCCCCTAGTTAGTAAATGAGTACTGCAACACATTGTGTTTATAAATACTGCAAATACTGAATAACTGCATTAATTTTTTCTCTATTACATCTGATTGGAGTTTCAAACAAATTCAACCTCACAGAAAGCACTGCGTTCTAATTACAGCAGACTAAGGCAGGTCAAAACTAAAATTAAAGTATAAGTTCACCTTTAAAGTGGTTGCTAAGGCTGAAGGTTTTTTTATCTACATGCATTCTATGCACAAAGGTAAAAAACCTTCAGTATGCAGCTCCCCCCTTATACTTACCCGAACCCAATCTCGATCTAGTGATGTGCACGAGAGCAGCAGCTCTCCTGGGTCTCTCCCTCCTCATTGGCACAGACACAGTAATGGGCACCATTGGCTCCTGCTGAGGTCAATCACAGCTAGAGAGGAGGGAGCAGGGTGTGGGGCTGAGCTGTGCTCTGCGTGTGCAACGTCAGGTTCCGCAAACTCTCCCTCCAACTTTCTGCCCATACCTCCGTGCAGGGCTTTCAGTTTGAAAGCTGGAAGGGGTGTGACTGATCTGCACACTTGCATTTCATTGAAACTACCAGTCCATCTGCCTTGGTGGCAGATGGGACTTGTAGTTTATCCATTCACCGATCCCTATGAATGACTGATGTGGCTGTGTAGGCAGAGTCCCACACAGCTATTTTAAAATGTGACAGCAGCTGCAGGGGAGAAGAACCCTCCCCACTTTCACAGGGAAGAGGCGGATGGGGTGCTGAACAAGTGACATGTTACACCATAAATATGGGTGTAACATGTTCAAAAAGTAAGCTTACAGTATCTTTTAGGCTAGGTTCACTTTGCTGCACCCCGATTTTCAGTGCCATTATGTAGTACAACTTGGAAATAGTTTGCATATTCTTTGCGGCCAAAATCGCATTGGAATAATACCAAAGTAGCACAGGAACCATTTCCAAAACCACACTGTGCAGAGTTACATTGATGTGAACAGGCACTATTGAAAACAACATGATTTCCTTTCTCATGCAATTCTGTGCAACTCAAGTTGCATCTGAAATCACACTAGTGTGAAGAGAGCTTGAGCTAAATCAATTGTGGTGTTTATAGCTTTCCTAGAGGAAATTCCTTTTTTTTTTTCTCAAAGTGCTAGAGGTCTTCTGGAATCTGATCTAAACACACAGGCGACACTACATAGAAGTGAGCATGATGATCTGCACCAGCCTGTGTTCACAGTAAAACGTTCTAGTACTTGGGATATATAACATTTTATTTTTTCTCAAAGAAAACAGAGATGTACCAGATCATAAGTGTAAATAATGGCACGCTTGCTTTTGCTTTCCTGAGCCAGATGAAGAAATCTTATGCAAAATCTCTTCTGCTTCATCCATCTCACCTTTCACAATGCTGAGCTAGATCAAAACACAGGAAAAGTAAAATAATAATTTTTGGTTATGTTGCAGCAAGGCAAAGCAACAGGCTCACATTGTAGCGGAACTCTTTTGCAGACCACTTTTTTGCAATTCAAACTCAGGAGGCTGCCATAATTAAAAAAAAAACCCAAAAAAAACCCCATAAATAAAAGCAGAATTTGCTGCCATATTCCCCTTCAGTGTGGAGCTGACCCCAGCAGTATTAATATTCTACCACTTGCCTTCCAGGCTGTATGACAGTCAGCTTTTTTCAACCTACTTCTCTGAGCCCAGGCTGTCATGGACCCCCCCCTAGGGAGACATCATCTCACTGGCCTGTGCTCAGAATACTACTGCACTGAATGGGACTCACACATCAATTCTTGAGCACCATTAAGTGCAGGATTATGGAACAATCACCCCCCTCCCCCTTCCCCTACGGCAGCCACTGAAACAGGAGAAACCCATGTCATCAGAGCAGCTTACAGAACCTGGGAAATGCCCCACTCTCCAGCAAAATACGTTGACTATTCTTTAATTTCCCAACTGCTTTCCCTCATTTAGATGTCACTAGTGAGAAATAAGCTGAGCTAACACAGGGCAGAGCCCTCACATGTGACAGAGCTTGGCGACAAACCAAGAACCAGTGTGATCATGAAAGATAAAGTGACTATGTGCTGCCGTGGAGAACCTACTGCTTTACTCAACATGGGCAAAGTCCCAGTGATCTGCTTTTGGTTTCGTTAAAAGAAAAAAAATTCCATAATGCTTTACTCACATCACTTGCCTGTAATGAAGGATGTCTCATGCTGTGCTTGCAGTTGGATGCTGGTGAAATTGTTGGTGCAGGGATGCCTGTTCTCTTCCTGTCTCTAAACTTCCAGAGCTGTGATGGGTAACAGCTTTGGGTCTTCAGGCAGAACCGCAGTGCAGATAGTCCAACAGGACACACCCCCTCCTTCCTTCTCCTTTGAGAAATGATCCTTCATTAGGGAGAGCCTGATTAGTCACAGAATTCACTGTCGCAGCAATACAGATGGTCCCTATCTGACCACTGAAGCTGGTAACCATTGCAGCCCTACAAGTTCAGAGACAGGAAGAGGACAGAAGAATAAACCTCCTTTGCTTAGGAGTGGTGTACAGGCAAGTGGAAAGTCCAGATTCTTGGCTGTTCAGTGGCTAGCCCAGGCCTTGCTGTCCTCTAAGGGTTGGGGATACCCACGAAGAAGACTGGAAAACAAGGAACAGAGGGAACACCAGCCTTGCGCATTAGCTTTGACAGCTTTATTAAATAGAATAAAATGTATATCCTCACAAACACTTCATGTATACGGGCATATCAGACTCCACGATGCAAATGCACTTAAAGCATCTCGGTCATACTGGCAAGTCCCAACTACAGTTGGGACATCCAAAAGGTTGACGTATTTTGAGGGGGGAATCCCCTCTTCCTCAGAACTAAGGAAAGAGGGGATCTCCCCTCGAAACGCGTCAGCCTTTTGGATGGTCCAACTGTAGTTGGGACTTGCCTGTATGACCAAGATGCCTTAAGTGCATCGTGGACTCCGATATGCCCGTATACAGGAAGAGGACAGACATCCCTGCACAAATAGATTTCTCTAGGATCCAGCTGCCCGCACAGCATGGGATATACTTCATTACCTGTAAGTATTGTTAATAAAGCTATAGGGCTTTTGTTTTAGCTAAACTTGAATCTTTTTCCTGAAAAAACCCCCCCCAAAAAACAGTAAAATCATTAAACTAATTTCAGGATTAAAAACCACATATTACCTTCTAAAAATGTAAGGCGACAGCTGACCCATTACTGTGTGATCTGTTTTAATTTCAAATCTCCAGTCCCAAAAAACACCATATAATATAGTGTCCTGACGATTTCCCTTTCATGTACAGTGCCTTGCAAAAGTAACCATACACCTTGAAATTTTCCACATTTTGTCATGTTATAACCAAAAATGTAAATGTATTTTATTGGGATTTTATGTGATAGACCAACACAAAGTGGCACATAATTGTGAAGTGGAAAGAAAATGATAAATGGTTTTCAAAATTTTTTACAAATAAACATCTGAAAAGTGTGGCGTCTATTTGTATTCAGCCCCCTTTACTCTGATACCCCTATCTAAAATCTAGTGGAACCAATTGCCTTCAGAAATCACCTAATTAGTAATCAGTCCACCTGAGTGTAATTTTATCTCAGAATAAATACAGCTGTTCTGTGAAGCCCTCAGAGGTTTGTTAGAGAAAAATATTGAACAAACAGCATCATGAAGGCCAAGGAACACACCAGACAGGTCTGGGATAAAGTTGTGGATACGTTTAAAGGAGGGTTAGGTTACAAAAAATATATCCCAAGCTTTGAACATCTCACAGAGCACTGTTCAATCCATCATCTGAAAATGGAAAGAGTATGGCACAACTGCAAGCCTACCAAGACATTGCCGCCCAGCTAAACTGACAGGCCGGGCAAGGAGAGCATTAATCAGAGAAGCAGCTAAGAGGCCCATGGTAACTCTGGAGGAGCTGCAGAGATCCACAGCTCAGGTGGGAAAATCTGTCCATAGGACAATTATTAGTCATGCGTTCCACAAATCTGGCCTTTATGGAAGAATGGCAAGAAGAAAGCCATTGTTGAAGGAAAGCCATAAATAGTCCTGTTTGCAGTTTGCGAGAAGCCATGTGGGGGACACAGCAAACACGTGGAAGAAGGAGCTCTGGTCAGATGAGACCAAAATTGAACTTTTTGGACTAAAAGCAAAACGCTATGTGTGGCGGACAACTAACATTACATATCACCCTGAACATACCATCCCCACTGTGAAACATGGTGATGGCAGCATCATGTTGTGGGGATGCTTTTCTTCAGCAGGGACAGGGAAGCTGGTGAGAGTTGACGGGAAGATGGATGGAGCCAAATACAGTGCAATCTTAGAAGAAAACCTGTTAGAGTCTGCAAAAGACTTGAAACTGGGGTGGAGGTTCAGCCAGAGCACAATGGAATGGTTTAGATCAGGGGTCTCCAAACTTTTCAAAGGGCCAGTTTACTGTCCTTTAGACTTTAGGGGGGCTGGAATGTGGCCAGTGGGGATAGAAAATGTCCTGGGCCCAGTGAGAATAAACATTGCTGCAGGGTTGGTGGTCAGTAGGCCATTCCCTATTAGTATCAGTGGGAGGTATAATACCCCATCGTTGGCATCAGTAGGAGGTATAGTACCCCACCACTTGTATCAATTAAGGAAATAGTGGCCCGTTGGTGGTGTCAGTGGGAGGAATAGTGCCCCAGCATTGATACTAGTTAGAAGAATAGTGCTCCATCATTAGCATCACTGGCAGGAATTATGACATACTGCTGGTGTCAAAGGGAGGAATAGTGCCTCATGTCATTGGGAGGAATAGTGCCCCAAGGGCCAGACAAAGGCTAGGAAAGGGCCGCATCTGGCCCTCAGGCCACAGTTTGGAGACCACTGGTTTAGATCAAAGCATATTCATGTGTTAGAATGGCCCAGTCAAAGTCCAGGCCCAATTCCAACTGAGAATCTGTGGCAAGACTTGAAAATTGTTGTTCACAGACGCTCTCCATCCAATCTGACAGAGCTTGAGCTATTTCGCAAAGAAGAATCGGCAAAAATGTCACTCTCTAGATGTGCAAAGCTGGTAGAGACATCCCCAAAAAGACTTGCAGCTGTAATTGCAGTGAAAGGTGATTCTACAAAGTGACTCGGGGGGGCTGAATACAAATGCATGTAATACTTTTCACATATTTATTTGTCAAAAATTTTGAAAACCATTTATCATTTTCCTTCCACTTCACAATTATGTGCCACTTTGTGTCGGTCTATCACAAAAAATCCCAATAAAATATATTTACGTTTTTGGTTGTAACATGACAAAATGTGGAAAACTTCAAGGGGTATGAATACTTTTTCAAGGTACTGTATATAACTCATGGAAACATGAAAGTGTGCATACATAAATTAACATATATCACAATCACATATATTGTATTCAAAACAAATAAAAGGTTTGCCACCCCTAAATTCCATCTCACCTTGGCCTTCTTCAACATGTAAACTATCTGTTGTTCTGACTCAGAAAGGTCTTCATCCTCCTCACGAAGTTTAGAGAAAATAGAAAATGCTGAAAATCATAAGTAACAGAAACAGTTAGGATTGGAAATGTTTGGAAATTCCTCATCTGCTTCCTTATATCTGCATGCTGAAAAAAAACGAGTGGCCTCCTCTAGTCTTCTGTAAGCAACAGTATGTCCCTTGTCCTGCTGCTTCTTACAGTATTCATCAAATTGTCCAGGCATTCCGATACTACCAAGATCACAAAACTGCTTTGACTTCGTTGACCAACAAGTGATGTTCCAGATAAAATGTGACAATTGATGCTTTAGGTCCAAGCAATGGTGTCAGACTTTTAATTGAAGCCCAGCAATGAAAGGGACACTCCTGACAAGAGGTAGAGAGATAGGAACTCCCGAGATCGACCTAGCCTCCAGAGTATTTCAGAGGCACAATAAATAGTTTGCAGATTATACCCATTGGCATTCACCCAATGATAAAATCAGCTCTAGGTGGACCTGACCTTTAAGACAGTACAAAGCCTTTACAAATTTTTTTTGGGAAGTGTGGTTGATTAGATAAACCCACAAGTTCCCTCTAAATTATGGCTGCATTGAGCTGGGTGTAATTCAGCTACAGCAGAACACAGTAGTACTTTCATCCTGTGAAGTGGAAGCCAGTTCTGCCATCACAGCACTAAAGCAAACCGTACACGGCCAGTTTAGGACAACGTCCATTATTTCAATTACTGATTTGGAAACCTCATAGCAGAGTCTTAAAATTCACTTATTGCCTCAAAGTGCTGAGGGAAACTATCAGTGCTGAAATCACTATCAGTACAAAAAAACAAGACTCACCTCAGCAAACCAGATTACCTTGAGGAAAAGAAGTGAGCCACGGAACACAAGCGGGAAACTCAAATATAAGAATATATTTTATTTATTATTTTTGAGGAAGAAGTACAGCAGATGACGTTCCATGTTTCCGTGTGTGTAGCTCAACATGCCCTCCTATTTTGCAAAAAAGCTAGACTGAATGTAATTTTGAAGCTTTATTAATAAAACAGGGTGGATGAAAACCATTAGGAAAAAACAGATGAGAAATACATATAATCAATGTAAAACCATACAGAAAACACAATCAATGCAGTAAAGCATGCTTGTTTGCTTATTGTGGAACCTAAAGGGTTATTCCTCTGCATTGTGTAAAAGGATGTTAATCTTGTCTTCTCTGATCCTCCCCTTCTCCTACGTCCCCAATTCATCTGCTGATAGTACAGAGCCCTAGGAGTCACTCTGCACATGCTCAGCTTGTGTGTTTTGCTGCATAGTTTTTTTTTCTTCTTTGGAAGAGTACATGTAATCAGCACAGGGCCAATCAGCACTGTCCAGACAGAGGGTCAAGGGTTATGCAGCCTCATAGGACAGTCAGAGCAGAATGAAAACTCCAACAAGCTTTAACCAGTGCTCAGCTGGACACTGATTGAAGTCACAAGACTGCTATATATTGCTGATGAGAAAAGGTATTTAGCAGTATACATTTACTAAAATAATTGCATTTCCATGTTCTGTGTACTGTGGGAGACCAGATATAGTGAATGCAGGGTCCTGGGATTAGTAATACTTTAACTTATCTAAACAGTCTCTTCAAAACAGTAAATTTATCACTGGCTCCATCTAGTGTTAAAATTTGATATTGCAAGCAGGACAGGCATAAAATTTTCCCGTTGGAGGGAAACACATTGCTTCCGGGTCAGTAAGAGGAACATCCCTTCACTGGCCTCCCTCCTCTCTACCCAGTAGCACCAACCATGCTCACCCCAGGTCCGCTAATAGGCATGCGGAGCCCGGGAAGCATGGTGGGGGCGCCGCCGTTCCCAGTGTATGTGGAAGTGATGGTGAGTGTCTACGCAGATCGCTTCCAAACAACACCCAACTCATCAGATTTATATACAGTGTGTATAAAACCCCCGCTGCCACCTCCATACAACGTAAGCTGGTGGCAGCGAACGGGTTATAGCATACCTTCACTCCCCAGAGTCACTTTAGTTTTCTGGACTCCCTCCCCCCTCTGCAACCTAAATTTGGTTTATTAAAACAGACCTTCACCCTAAACTTAACTTCCAAATGAACTGCCTCCTCTCTTTCCTTAAATTGGATACTTTTTCATTTTTTTATTCTCTAAACATCTATCATGTTGCAAAGCAGCACTTCCGCATTTCTCGCCAGAGAATGAGGTTTAGGTTCCATCCCCGGGCCAACAGTCTTGTAGCACATTTGCACACATGCAGGTTTTTTCCCGGACATCTTCGCAGATGGATAGCACGGAAGTCTGAAAATGTCCCCATACTTGCACACCTGCGGGAAACATCCTGCATGCGCACTAATGTGCAAAGTGGCTCTACCAGAACCTGATCTGCAAGTGCCATAATGACAGCTGTGGGGGGGGGGGGGGTAGCAAACAGACAGAGGACTGAAGTTCCTCTTTAGTAGGTTTTTTTTTTTTTTCAGCCCTGCTGCCATTCTTGCTAAGGCGAGGGTGACGTGTCCCTTCTCCCTCAGGATTACCACGTGATATATCCCAGGAGGCAGTAGGAGTGGGACAAACAGCAGGCCAATGGGTGTACCTGGCAAGTATCATCAGGGGGCTGGATGCCTGACCACAGAACAGGCCGGAGATGGACTGAGATGGCCACACAGGACCCAGGATATGGTACCTGATCAGCAGATTGCTGTAGGACTCTGAATTAGGGTTGTCACCTCATCCCTTTAAAATGAATCACATGGTACTTGCACAGGTTCTGTGGCTGATTAAGATGGTCATTCACTTAGTGCCTTATCTGCATTTAATTAGCCTGAGAACCTGTGTAGTTAACGTGTTCTGTTTTAAAGGGAGGAGGAGGAGTGGCAACTAGGGATGCACCAATGTATTGGCGGCCAAAAACTGTGTTATCGCCATTTTTCTGATAGGAAAAAAGCTGCCGATACATGCAAAATCGCGTCTCATAGACTTTCATGCAAGAACGCCCCCTAGTAACTTCAATGCAAAGTCGTGTCTCAGACTTTCATTCAAAGTTGCGTTCCTATTCACTTCGATGCAAAAACGCCCCCTAGAGATTTCAGCGCAAAATCCTGTCTCAAAGACATTCATGCAAAAATGTTCTCTAGTGACTTCAATGCAAAATTGCATCTCATAGACTTTCATGCAAAGTTGCATTCCTATTCACTTCAATGCAAAAATGACCCCTAATGATTTCAATGCAAAATCGTATCTCATAAACTTTTGTGCAAAGTTGCGTCCCTATTTACTTCAATGCAAAAACGCCCCCTAGTGACTTCAATGCAAAATTGCGTCTCATAGACTTTTAAGCAAAGTTGCATTCCTATTCACTTCAATGCAAAAATGACCCCTAGTGATTTCAATGCAAAATCGTATCTCATAAACTTTTGTGCAAAGTTGCGTCCCTATTCACTTCAATGCAAAATGCCCCCTAGTGACCTCACTACATATTCCCATCTCAAAGACATTCAATGCAAAATTGCATCTCATAGACTTTCGTGCAAAGTTGCATTCCATTTCACTTTATTGTAAAAAACACCTGCTAGTGACTTCAATGCAAAATTGCGTCTCATAGACTTTCATGCAAAGTTGCATTCCTATTCACTTCAATGCAAAAATGCCCCCTAGTGACTTCAATGCAAAATCGAGTCTCCTAGACTTTCATCTTTCATGCAAAGTTGCATTCCTATCCACTTCAATGTAAAAACGCCCCCTATTGACTTCAATGCAAAATCGCGTCTCACAGACTTTCGTGCAAGGTTGCATTCCTATTCACTTCAATGTAAAAACGCCTCCTAGTGACTTCAATGCAAAATTGTGTCTCAGAAATTCATACAAAATTGCATTCCTATTCACTTCAATGCAAAAATGCCCCCTAGTGACTTCAATGCAAAAATCACATCTCATAGACTTTCATGCAAAAGCGCCCCCTAGTGACTTCAGTGCAAAATTGCATCTCATAGACTTTCATGCAGTTACATTCCTATTCACTTCAATGCAAAATCACCCTCTAGTGACTTGAATGAAAAAAATCGCATAACATTGACTTTCATGTAAAGTCGCGACCCTATTGAGTTGCAATGTAAAAATGCCCCCTAGTGAATTCAATGCAAAATTGCCAGCCACATACATTGAATTTTTTTAAAAAATTGTAAAGACTGTCCATTTCGGTTTTTGGGCCAAGTGCATCCTGAATTTTTGGTTTTGTACCAGAATTTTCATTGCACCAATAACAACCTCTGAAGCTCCTTTCTAATTGATAGGATGGAGAAAAAGTGTGTGTGTTTTGGTGGCACCTACATGACCTTCGACAGGTCATGTGACAGTTCTCCTCCTATCAGTGAGCGTCCTGTGCAGGACCCGGCTGTTTTCACGTATAGATAACGCACGGCCTGCCCTGTGCGGAGTGTTTCCTGGGAAGTCCTATGTGCACGGCCCTCTACAGAATGTAACTCTACATCAGCATGTACTATACTAATATGGTCAGCAGGGGGCCCTGTATTTGGGGGACACACAGGCCAGGCTCACCTGCGGCACTCATCAGGATAAATGGAGGACGCAGGTTGCCGCCACGTGATCCTGCGCTCATTGTACACAGAGGTGAGCTCCTGCTGTGCCAGCCTGGTAGACCCCGTGCTCGAGATCCTCCCCATCTCCCGCCGACAGTCAGTACACAGCGCACAGCTGCTCCCCGTATGACAGCCCTGGACAAATTCCCCAAACTCCACACCGTCCTGACACTCATCGTCCTGGCCGGTGCTCTGTTATCAGGTGATTTTCAGACTAGTCATGTGATCAGGGAGCCAATAAGTTCTGCATAAGATTCGCTGGCGGCCATCTTGAGTCAGGGAAAGGTCTCAGGCTGGTATATAGATTTATAGCATGTAACGTATGATTTCCATTATCTGGCGCTGGAAATTGTCCATGCACTGGCTTCACTAAGCACCATGAAAAGGCCATAGCCATTTCACCTGCATGCTTTATATCTGCATTAAGTGGACTAAACTAATGCCTATATTGTGTTTGCCAGAAAACATCCAAGGCATAGTTCACCTTTACCAAAAATCCGCCAATGCGGATAAGGGGTGTCTGTAGATACAATCAAGGGCAGCTTTGAACAAAGTTGAATAATGCTCTTGCTATAGGTGTAAGCCATTTATGTACCTCATGAAGCTTGCCTCCTATGGCCAGAGCCATAGTAAAACCTTCAGGGCCCCTGTGGAAGAAACCATGAAGGGCCCCCCCAACCCTTCCCTCTGAGCCCTGGGCCCTTGATTACTGTCCCACAGCAGGACCCTTTCAAATGTTCTTTAACCACTTGCTGATCGTAGATAGCCTAATGATGGCTTCACTGCGGTCGGCCAGTCCTGGGAGGGCGTCATATGATGTCCTCCCAAGACGCGCGCCCCCGGGAATCTCTGTGATCCCTGTGCCCTACTGACACAGCTGATCACATGATGTGGGAAAAGACCAATCACACTGGCCTTTTACCACATGATCAGCCGTGTCCAATGACACAGCAGATCACCGGTAAATGCAGTTGCCAGTTATCAGCTGCACTTTCCTCACGCTGTCACTACGTGAGGAAAGTACTGCCGATAACCGGCAATTGATGGTCAGTGCCCAGTAGTGCCGCCAGTCAGTGCCCAGTAGTGCCGCCAGTCAGTGCTGCCTATCAGTGCCCATTAGTGCTGCATATCAGTGCCAGCTCATCAGTGTCGCCTATCAGTGCCCATCATTGTTGCATCATCAACGCACATCAGTGAAGGAGAAAAATTACGATTTTGATGATAAAAAAAGTGCAAAAAATAAAACACCCGACGGCGAGCACATACCACCAAAAGAAAGCTCTATTTGTGTGAAAAAAAAGATACAAATTTCATATGGGTACAGTGTTGCATGACCACGCAATTGTCCTTTTAAAGTGCGACAGCGCTAAAAGCTGAATATTGGCCTGGGCAGGAAGGGGGTATAAGTGCCTGGCAGACAAGTGATTAAGGGGCCCCCTTCCTGCTGTCTTGGGTAGGGTTGCCACATTTTCTTCAACCCAAACACATTAGCGGCGAACAGCAATTTTTTTGGGCTATAAATATATTTTGTGATTGAATAACATTTCTATTCATATGCATTTCATCAAAAGATTCAGAGTCAACAGAGTTCCCCCTTTATATCTGAATCTGTAGAGTTGCCCTTTACATCTGAATCTGCAGAGTTCCCCTTACATCTGTACTCGCTGAGTTCCCTCAAACTGTCGACTCTGATGTAAGGGAGAACTCTGGGACTCTAATTTAGCGGGAACACCGGGAACTCTGATGTACAGAGGGAACTCTGATGTAAGGGGAATGCTGCAGACTCTGGTGTAAAGGGAAACTCTGATATACAGTTGTGTTCAAAATAATAGCAGTCAGACATCACTAACCAGATCAATCACTGTTTTTGGTAGAAATGATATTTCTACATGGCAAATAATTTACTAGCAGGTGTAGTAGAGTAATAGAAATCCAACAGACCCATCAGTCATGATATGCATGCTGTTGATGCTGTGTAATTGAATCACTAATTAAAAGGGGCATGTTCAAAATAATAGCAGTGTGGAGTTCTATTAGTGAGGTCATTCATTCTTTGAAAAACAGGTGGCAATTATTGCCCTAATTTAAGGAAGAAAGGCAGCAAATGTTGTACATGCTGGTTACAGTGCATTTCTCTCTGAAATTCTGGAGAAAATGGGTCGTTCCACACATTGTTCAGAAGAACAGCGTACCTTGATTAAAAAGTTGATTGGAGAGGGGAAAACATATAAAGAAGTGCAGAAAATGATAGGCTGCTCAGCTAAAATAATCGCAAATGCTTTAAAATGGCAACCAAAACCTGAAAGACGTGGAAGAAAGCAGAAAACTACCATTCGAATGGATAGAAGAATAGCCAAAATGGCAAGGACTCAGCCAACAATCAGCTCCAGGAAGATCAAAGAAGGTCTAAAGTTACCTGTGAGTACTGTTACAATTAGAAGACGCCTATGTGAAGCCAAGCTATCTGCAAAAAGCCCCCGCAAAGTCCACTGTTGAAAAAAAGACATGTACTGAAGAGGTTACAATTTGCCAAAGAGCACATTGACTGGCCTAAAGAGAAATGGCGCAACATTTTGTGGACTGATGAAAGTAAGATTGTTCTTTTTGGGTCTAGTGGCCGGAGACAGTTTGTCAGACGACCCCCAAACACTGAATTCAAGCCACAGTACACTGTGAAGACAGTGAAGCATGGTTGCGCAAGCATCATGATATGGGGATGTTTCTCATACTACGGTGTTGGGCCTATTTATCGCATACCAGGGATCATGGATCAGTTTGAATACATCAGAATACTTGAAGAGGTCATGCTGCCTTATGCTGAAGAGGAAATCCCTTGAAATGGTTGTTCCAACAAGACAATGACCCCAAACACACCAGTAAACGTGCAACATCTTGGTTCCAGACCAACAAGATTGACGTTATGGAGTGGCCAGCCCAATCCCCGGATCTTAATCCATTAGAGAACTTGTGGGGTGACATCAAAAATGCAGTTTCTGAGGCAAAACCAAGAAATAGAGAAGAACTGTGGAATGTAGTCCAATCATCCTGGGCTGGAATACCTGTTCACAGGTGCCAGAAGTTGGTTGACTCCATGCAACACAGATGTACAGCAGTTCTCAGAAACAATGCTTATACAACTAAATATTCATTAAGGGATTCAAAGGAAAGCAAAACCTTCAAACATTTTTCAGTTTATATAGTGAATGTTTGAGTTTGTAAAGAAGAATACAAACACTGCTATTTTTTTGAACAGTCTAATATTCACTTTTCTTCAATTTTTTTAGAGGAACAACACAAATTTGATATATTTTTCTTCATGTTTTGATTTGGAATAGAATGTGTAGTGTTCCCAATGCATTTGTGTGTATGGAAATAAAAGCTATTATAAGGATTTTGAGCTTTATTCACTTTTTTCAACACACTGGTATTATTTTGAACACAACTGTAAGTGGGTTTCTGGTAACCAGAGCCCCCGCTTACATCAGAGTTCCTAGAATTCCCCTTTATACAGGGTTCGCAGAGCCCCCCATTAAATCAGAGTTCGCAGAGTTCTCTTTTACATCAGAGTTCACAGAGCCCCCCTTACTTCAGAGTATACAGAGCCAGAGTCTGCACAGCCCCCTTACATCAAAGCCTGTACAGCCCCCCTTACAGCAGATCCCGCACAGCCCCCCTTACATCAAAGTCCACAGAGTGCCCCTTTCATCCGAGCACACAGAGTGCCCTTTACATCAAAGTTCAAACAGCCCCCTTATATCAGAGTCCACAGAACACCCCTTACATCAGAGTCCACAGGCCAAATGGCCTGGTATAAATGGGGGACGACCCTCATGCAGTTTTTTGTTTATTGCTGGCATTCTTTTAATTTACGTTCAGCAAGTAACATCCAAGTCACACCCATCCAAAGTCACATTAAAGTGGCACTCACCCAAAGTTGCATCAAAGTCGCATCCATCCAAAGTCACCAAAAAGTCTCATCAAAGTGGCATGAAAGTCAATACTTTCCCATTGGCAAAAGAAAACACATCAAAAACGCATCCAAAATGCGTCCAAATGTGTGTTCAAAAATGCACAGCAAAACGCGCTGGAAATACCCCAAATCAATCACAACACGCAGAGGCGTGAACCTAGCCTAAGAGTCCATTTAGATTTATACATGTGGCTAGAGGTGTGCTTTTTTAGTATGAGGAAGATGTATTGTCACGTGCCAACATTCATTTCCTTTCCGCATTAATATGCTTTGTTGACGAGTTTACAAAGTTTAGGATTTGGAGTGAGTAGAGTTAAAGTGGAACTAAAATATCACTGCCACAAACTGTGAGCCAGCAGGCTTTTTATTGCAGAAGAGATAAGCAATGTCTCTTCTCATCTCTGTCATCCCATGCTGGAAAATGAAGATGGCCGAAGACCAGCACCAAGCATAATGTGATGGGAGTGACTTTGGGTGGGGGGCCTATGGAACCCAGCTCACTTTAGAGAGGTGGGGAGACCCCTGTCTCAGCGCCCCATATCCCTATTATGTGTAAGTCACCCTGTGCCTGTTAGGGGTTCAGGGTGATCTGTCCTAATATTGGGGTGGGGGGTGTTGATTGTTTAATGCCATGTGGTTGCATCCCATTGTTCTATTGTGTGTCTTACTTGGGAGCAAACTATTATGGGATGTATGTGCTTATGTGTATTGGCTTGGTGGGGGGTGTCTCCAGCAGCCCTCCCTCCTGATGGGACTGTCTGTTGGTGTGTCCTTTGTTACTAAATGTAGATTGCCATGCCCTGTGTCATTATGCAGGGAGGGGGGATTGTTCCCTTGAGTGTATATATCTTGTATACGTGTTAAAATAAACTAGTCTACTTTCTGGATTACTTCAAGATTGGTGTTGTCTATTCTTGTATGGTCAGCTGTGGTGTCTGTTGTTGGTGTTCGGACGGGGAAGCGGTATTCTAACGGAAGTACTCAGCACAGGCTGGGACGGTTCTCTAACACATAAGATGCTGGCTTTGGCAAGGGATGGAGACCATTGAAGAAAAAGAATGTTTAGCTCAACTTTAACAGCCACTGACCATTGTTAATACCGGTTGCGAGGGACGAGCTCCTGACATGTCAAAACCTGCCTGAGCTATCCCACCAGGAAGATGTCAAAACAGACAAAACAAGACATCCCCCCCACCGGCGCATTCC